ACATGGTGAAACCCCATCTCTACTAAAAATACAAAAACTAGCCAGGCGTGGTGGCATGCACCTACCTGTAATTCCAGCTACTTGGGAGGCTGAGGCAGGAGAATCACTTGAACCCAAGAGGCGGAGGCTGCAGTGAGCTGAGACTGTGCCACTGCACTCCAGCCTGGCCAACAGAGTAAGACTTGTCTCGGGATAAAAAAAAAAAAAAAAAAAGGAAGAAGAAAAAGAAAAAAAAAAGAACTGCCTGAGACTGGGTAATTTATAAAGGTAAGATGTTTAATTGACTCACAGTTCAGCACAGCTGGGAAGGCCTCAGGAAACTTTCAATCATGGTGGAAGGAGGAGAAGCATGGCACATTTTTCACAAGGTGGCAGGGAGAAGAGTCGCAGAGCCAAAGGACAAGAGCTCCTTATAAAACCATCAGATCTTGTGAGACTCACTATCAGGAGAACAGCATGGGGGAAAGTGCCCCCATGATTCAAATACCTCCACCTGTTTTCTCCCTTGACATGTGGGGATTATGGGGATTACAATTCAAGATGAGATTTTGGGTGGGGACACTAAGCCTAACCACGTCAGGTAATTTTCAGTATACAAATGACAGTAGGTAAATTCATAGACATATATGTGATCTCCCAGATAAAACGTGTAAAGACAGAAGAAAACAAGAAAGAATGAGATGCTAGCGAAAACTACCTGTTAAGCAAAGGGTGAAGGAGAAGCTAGAGGAAAGACCCAGTGGAGGGACACGAGGGACAATAAGGCACAGTCTTAAGGGCTAGAAGTAAATGCTATCTTTCTAACCCACAGCAATCCCTTGCATAAAATCTACTCTATAAATGTCTTGAAATTGAACAACCTCATAATCCCAAATAATGAACACAGCAATTACCCACACTTACGGCACATTTAAAAGATTTACAAAGTTGAGCAAAACTCAAATTAGATCTGTGACTCTCCTAGAACATCAAGAGTCTGTGGAAGATGCATTGTCATTAAATATGAGCAACAGCCTAGGCAGTGTAAGAAATCATTCCTTACATTTATGTCCAGCTAAGGAGGTTTTTCAAAGCTTTATCCACATCCTTTTACAGCAAGGTAACATGTTACTCTGTTTTGCAATTTGCTAAAGATCATGTGAAATACTGACTCTTCTAAGTTTTGCAACTGACTAATATAAAATTGTGTAGTCTCCTCCTAAGAGAGGACATAGGAATCATGTATATGAAAACTGCTTACTTCTCACTTGAATCAGTTACTAGAGCATCTCATCAATTCTTGGTTGTACTGCTGTAATAAACCTTCTGGGTATCTAAACTGTTTTCATTATTTATCCCTTATCACACTTGAAATTTCTACACACTAAAGACAAATATTTAGTAGAAAATGAGTTCCCTCAAAGTACAAAAAAGCTGACCTCCATTTCTAGCTCAAGACAAGTGTTTTCTCAGGAAATAAATGATTTCCAGGATAAAACTCAAAGTGTTTTCTAAACTTTAATGTGAATACAAATCATCCGGGGATCTTGTTAAAAAGAAGACTCTGATCCAGTAGGTCAGAAACCATACCTACATTCCATGTTCCAACAAGCTCCCACCTGCATGAACACAAAGCTCCGGTCCACACCAGCTACTCAAATGTGGTACTTGAACAAGAAAAGTGTTGGAAGCTGGACAGAACCAAAACTACACTTTCCTCAGTGTGACAAACAGAACATGATACTATCATCTGCTCAAACAGGTGACTCTAGAAATTTACCTTAAATTCTTTTCTTCAAAATCCACTTAAAAACTCATTCAATCACACTTTCTTTCTTGTTGTTATTAAGAAAAGACCTTTTCTCTCCATTCCTTTCTATTATTCTAAACTGTGAGTCCAACCCTTAAGCCCCTCCACAGTGTGGCCCCAGCTGTTTCTTTCACGCTTCTCACCTGCAATCCCCATAGAAGTCACAGCATGCCAGTTCCAGGAAACCGGCTATTTTCTACATATAAATCATGCTCTCTCACCTTATCCCCTCTTGTTTTGCTTCAGTTTGTTGTAGTTGATGATTTCTGTATCAGGCCAGTCTCTATTACCTATCATGTCATCTTTCTCTAGTCACCCTGTCTAATCTTTCAATGAGAAATGTTCTCGGCATTCTTGGAAGCAGCCATTCACCCCCATTACATAGCAATTTTTCTTTCATTATAATATTAACATATAATAATATAGATTTCATATAACATTCTGTTGAATAAAAGATCCTTGTATCTTATATATACAAGGATGGGTCCTGGTCTTATTCCTGTTACTGAATTGCAAGCTACTTGAGGGCAGGAATCTTTCTTATTTGAATACTTCTTGCATTGCTTAAAGTAGTTCTGTACTCATATTATGCTAACTAAAAATCTATTAAAATGAAGTAAAGCACTACTAACTATTCTCAAATCACAAATCTAAACAACGTTTCTTTTACCTTCAAATAGGATTGGTTTCTTTACTTTTTTGCTATTGTACTTTAAGTTCTGGGATACATGTGTACAACATGCAAGTCTGTTACATAGGTGTACACGTGCCATGGTGGTTTGCTGCATCCATCACCCCTTCATCTACATCAGGTATTTCTCCTAATGCTATCCCTCCCCTAGCTCCCCATGCCCCAGCAGGCCCCAGTGTGTGATGTTCCCCTCCCTATGTCCATGTGTTCTCATTGTTCAACACCCATCCGTAAGTGAGAATGCTCAGTGTTTGGTTTTCTATTCTTGTGTCAGTTTGCTGAGAATGCTGTTTTCCAGCTTCATTCATGTCCTGCAAAGGACATGAACTCATTCTTTTTTATGGCTGCATAGCATTCCATGGTGTATATGTGCCACATTTTCTTTACCCAGTCTATCACTGATGGGCATTTGGGTTGGTTCCAAGTCTTTGCTATTGTGAACGGTGCCACAATAAACATGTGTGCATGTGTCTTTATAATAGAATGATTTATAATCCTTTGAGTACATACCCAGTAATGGATTGCTGGGTCAAATGGTATTTCTGTTTTTAGATCCTTGAGGAATCACCACACTATCTTCCATAATGGTTGAACTAATTTACATTCCCATTGTAAATTTTATTTTCTACTTTTCTCATTTTAGACTAAAAATTGGGCACAGTGTTTTATTATGCATTTTTCCCAGCTAGAATATTTTTGAATCTCCAAAATATTTAATTGTGCTTAATGTATTTTATCAGAACTTAAATTCTCAACGAGCTAATTTGGCATTTTCATATTCAACAGGCCAAATGTTCGTTTATCATCTGAGAAAAGTTAATTATGTAATGAAATCTTCATGAAACCATTATAAAACTGCACATAAACAGTGAGAAAGAGCCTACACAGCAGCACGGAAATCATCAACTCTGTTATAGTGAAATAAAGCCTGGTGACAAAGGTTAACTTCTGGAAACTAAAGGCTCTTCAGAATACCTGAAAAACTCCAAGGTGGGAGGAGAACATTCTGTTTACTGTACATCATGAAGTTCACATTAGTTCAACGTCAGCTAAGCAGATGACATCTCAAGTACAAACCCCAAAAACAATCTAATGGAATGTAGTAAGACCAGACATAAATTAAAGTGAGTCAATGCAAAACATCTTCTACTAAATTCTGAAGATAAACAGACAAAATAACTTAATTTTGAGTAACTTAAAAACGAGCCCAGGTCAAATAACATCTAACCAAAAAATAGAATGTGAGATCAGAGCTTAAAAGTGATATAGTGTTGTGATCACCACCAATGACTGTTATAGAAAACTGAACATTCAAAACCACATGACCAGGCTAAGGCAGGAGGAGCCCTTGAGCCCAGGAGTTTGAGCTTTCAATGAGCTGTGATTGCTCCACTGCACTCCTCTAGCCTGGCTGACAGAGTGAAATCCTTCTCTTAAAAAAAAACAAAACAAGAAAAACCCTGTATTGCCCTAAAAGCAAAAATTCAAGGGAACAATATAGCTGCACTTAGGTTCTATTTGAGAGCTACTTGGACAATACTGAGGATCCTACAGGAAGAAAAAAAGTACCCCTATATGTTAAAAAAGCCTAGCAATGATATTCACATATGACTGGTTAGTTAGCTTTCCCATCCTTAAAAGTCAGGTCTTTGGCAATGGGAGGGTTTCTGGCTGACAGAATAATGGTTCCCTCAAATGTCCATGTCCTAATCCCCTGAACTTATGAATATAACCTTATATGGCAAAAGGGACATTGTAATTGATTCTGATCTTGAGATGGGAAGATAATCCTGGATCAAGAAGGGACCAGGAAATCACAAGAGTCTTCAACTTAGAAGAGGGAACCACAAGAAGAGGTGAGAGTGATGAAGTATGAGAAGGACTCAACAACCTACTGTTGCTGGCTTTGATAACAGAGGAAGGGGCCATGAGCCAAGGAATGCAGGCAGCCTTCAACAGCTAGAAGAGGCATGGCAGCAGATTCTCCTTCACAGCCTCCAGACAGAAATGCAGCTCTGTTTCAATTTTAGCCTAGTGAGATCCACAGTGTACTTGTAAATTATAGAATTTTAAGATGACTAATTTGTGCTTTTAGCCACTAATTTGTGGTGATTTGTTATGGCAACAATAGGGAACCAATACATGGCTGAACTGCTATAAAAATTGTCTAAAACACACACAGATAACTCCTTATAAGTACAGTGTGATGCTCTATAAAATGCTCATCAAATACATTAATATTTAATTTGCATGACTGCTCCTCTGTAAAAAACTATCAACATTACACTTAAAATTACATTTTATAAAAAGATTGAACACAAATACAATTAACTTTACTCAAAAAGTTAGGTTAGAAGACAAAACAGAACAAGATATTTTCAACCAAACAAGAAGGTGGTAAAAATTAAGTAAGAAAATTTGACATTTCTCACAGGTAACATTTAAAAGGAACAACCATAGTATCTGTCTTAATAGCTCAGCCAGAGGCAAATCAGTATTTCTTTTACAGTTCATATTTACCTGATGATCCTCTGGGCAGCATACTGATGGAGGGAACGAAACTGTGCCGACATATTTGCTAAAGCTGCCAAACAATTTGTGTGAAGGTACTTGTCCTGTGAGGAAACAGAAGGCGTAAAACATACAACCTCCATATTTTAACCAATGTTAACTTAACTATTAATAGAAGCAAATGTAAACTCCGTTGTCACTGATTGTAGTAAGCTCAGATCCACAATCTCTTTTTTCTAATTCTAAATCCATAAAGCACTGGAAATTCAAAGTTTTTTCACAACACAAAAAATGATGATGTTCCTGGTAGTCTTCAATATTCCCTCCATGGTGAATATTGAAATATTCTGCTATAGAAATACAATGTTTAATTACAGCATGCTACTTAAGATCCTAATGGTTACACATAGTAGAGTACATAAACTATAATTATCTTTCTAAAATCCAAAAACTTCTGCTTTCTAAAACATAGCTGGCTCCTAGGGTTTCAGATAAAAAACATGAATGTGTATCTACAAAGCCCCACAGAGGAAAATAACTGAAAATGGGCTGAGAGCCATGGCTCATGCCAATAATCCCAACACTTTGGGAGGATCACTTAAGGACAGAAGTTCAAAACCAATTCAAGACCAGTCTGGGTAATATGGTGAGACTCTGGCTTTACAAAAAAAAAAAAAAAGAAAAAAGAGCCAGGTGTGGTGGCACATGCCTGTAGTCCCAGCTCCTCAGGAGGGTGAGGCAGGAGGATCACTTAAGCCCAGGAATTGGAGGTTACAGTGAGCTATGATTGTGCCATTGCACTCCAGTGCAGCCTAGGCTGGGGTACAGTGGAACAATCAGAGCTCCAAATAAAAATCCCATTTCTCTTAGTTATGAATTCTGTATTCTGCTTCTCTTTAACAATATATTTCTATTAACCAGAACTGAAATTTGCTCCCGGCTTCTGTGAATAGAATCCACCAGAAATTTTTCTTTTATTCTTTAAAATTCTCTCTCTCTTCTGCTTTTCTTTCTCATTTGAATTCAAATTTTCTTGTGCTTATATCTTCTTGTACTTTGTTATTTGTTGCTATTAAAAGGCAAATCGGTATTATTGGCCAAATAACATACAATAGCTTTTATCTAAATCTTTTGCACTGCTTGTTTTCTATTTCATGTAAAATACCTCTAATCATACTATCTATTCAATATTGAGAAAAAGACCTTATGTTACATTAGGATCATGTAATACAGTGACTATACACTGATCTGTATTTTCTACCATGTCATGAGAATTTTAGCACCCTAAAAATTGGGACTGATTTAAACTATTGTCTTACACTATTTGTACTGTATGCAAAAAAGATAGAACAGCAGCTGGAATACTTACTCTCGTCCTAGTCATGTTGTACTGAACGGTTCTTATTACCACCAGGATCAGGAGACTCCCCAAGGAGATTTCAGTTAAAACTCGTTCTGAATACCAAGTAATATTCTTTAGTATCTGTAATAGGGAACAGAAGTTTAAGTAAAAACCGAATATTTTACAGACAAAAGAATTACTCCATGTCCACAATTTTTGATAAACCACAACTTTGCTCTGAAGCGGAGTTTAGCCGCACAGAGAGAGGTCACGAAAGCAAACGATCCAGATCTTCAAGGAGAGATGCTCCAGTGTTCTGCCGTGGCTATGGAGAGCAGGCAGTTCTGGCGCACACCTCCAGGCCTAAGTAAGCAAGAACTGTTTTCTAAGTTAAGACATTTCCACTGTAGATTTGTAACCTGGGGATGAGAGACAGAGACAGAGAGACAAAGAGAGAGACAGAATGAAAGACAGACAGGGAGAGAGAGAGACAGAGACAGGCAGGCAGGCAGGTACAAATACTGGGGAGCACAGCAGCCAAATCTGGGCTGCCATAAAGAAAGAGGTACAATGCGGGTAAAAAAACAATAAACAAACCAACAGGCTCAGCTGAGCCCTAGAACTCCCTAATGTTCTCTTCCATTACGGTTACTCCTGTATCCTTTCTCTATGACTCAAGGAGAGTCACTGTGCCATAGTGTTCTCTATCTATGCATGAAAAGAAGAGACTTCTGGGCTGATTCTTGCCTTGTCCCTTAAGAAGATAGACATCTCCACAGAGCACAGCAGACTCCTCACCACCCACAACTGAGTGGGAAAACCCAACACTTTGCAAAACAAGTTAGTCTAGACTTGTGTTTATAACTACAGATGAGCAACAAAACCACCAAGAAAGTGAAGACTGACAACAGCCTAAGAGAGTGATATGCTGAACCCAATCAAGATTCCTCTAATTACCAGTGCACATGAAACACAGTGGACAGGACAGAAAAATACCATGATGATACGTAACCAGCTAAAGACAAATGCAGGGAATCCTACTAAACAGATAACCCAGTTTCTTCAACAAGGGATTTAAAAAAAGCTGGTATAGGGAAAGAGTGCTATATATTTATGACTCTTAAGAACTAAATACAATAGATGTGGGAACCTGATTAAAACAAATCAACTACAGAAGACATTTAAAAAATAATTAGAGATAAATTGTCGGGAAGAATTTAAAAATTATTAATTTTGCTGAATGTACTAATGGTATATTTTTGAAAATCCATACTTACTAAAAGAACATACTAAAATGCTAACACATGAAAATATATGGAAGATTTATTTTTAAAAATAGAATGTAGATGACAGGAAGATGGATGCAGCAAACCATCATAGCATGTGTAAGCCTATGTAAGAATCCTACATGAACTGCACACATACCCCAGAACTTAAAGTATAATTAGAAGAAAAAGGAATTTAAAAATATTTTAAGGTAGAAAAAAATAGAAATGGTAGAAAAAGGTAGAAAAAATCAAAATGTAAAAGATAGTGAGGCTAAGGTAGGTGGATGAAAGAACAGCAGAGTGTTAATAATTATATGAAGATCCATGCTACTATTTTCTCCAATTATGTTTAAGTTTCACAGTGTTCATAATCAAAACTTTATCAAGTATATAAACAAATAATAAAGTGTGAACTGAACAGGCAGAGCAAATATATCTCCAATTAAACAGAGAGGATTTAGGAAGCTGGAAATTTTTTTTAAAAATTCTAATTAATGGAGGCCTTGGAAGTAACACCACACATCTACAACCATCTGATATTTGACAAACCGGACACAAACAAGCAATGGGGAAAGGATTCCCTGTTTAATAAATGGTGTTGGGAAAACTGGCTAGCCATGTGCAGAAAGCTGAAACTGGACCCACCCTTCCTTACACCTTGTATATGAATTAACTGCAGATGAATTAAAGATTTAGATATAAAACCTAACACCATAAAAACCCTAGAAAAAAACCTAGGCAACACCATTCAGGACACAGGCATAAGCAAGGACTTCCTGACTAAAACACCAAAAGCACTGGAAACAAAAGCCAAAATAGACAAATGGGATCTAATTAAGAGCTTCTGCACAGCAAAAGAAACAATAATTAGAGTGAACCAGCAACCAACAGAATGTGAAAAAATATTTGCAAGCTACCCATCTGACAAAGGGCTATTATCTAGAATCTACAAAGAACTAAAACAACTTTACAAGAAAAAAACAAATAACTCCATCAAAAAGTGAGCGAAAGGTATGAACAGACATTTTTCAAAAGAAGACATTTATGCAGCCAACAAACATGAAAAAAATGCTCATCGTCGCCTGGATTTCCTGGGAAGATGGCATGGTAGGGGCAACTCAAGATTGCAGCTCTCAATGAAGACGCAGAGGGTGAGTGCAGGCTGCATTTCCAGACAGATATTTGTTGCCCACAGAGAGACATGGGACGCCAGCGCAGCAGCTTCGGCTGGCGTGGCTGTTTTGGCCGGCACCTCAGCGCAGCGGCAGTCCACGCAAAACACACTAGTCTGGGTGCCCTGTTAAATTGGCAATCTAAGATTTGGGAGGGCAGATTACCATATCCATCTGATTAAACAGGACATGGACAGTGAGCCAGACCAGGAGATTCCCGGGCGGTAAAGTTTGAGACGGTGCAGTGGGTCACTGCACAGGAAATCACACAGATCCCGGTGCCCTACCAGCAGGCGACTGAAATGCCTGGGAGAGAGTCAACTGTTCAAATTAAAAAGAGAAAAAAAAAGGGCCCTGAGGCAGGGAGCCAGGTGGTCAGGCTCAGTGGGTCCCACCCCCATGGGCACAAGAAAAATGACGATTTGAAACGCTTGGGGTTGACAGTTTCACTGCGGGCACGGCTGAACCCAGGATGATGCAGCTTGGTGGGGGAGGAGTGTCCTCCATGAGGCATTCCGCCCCTACCGAGGTACACTCCCATTGCTGACACAGCCTGCCGTTGCCAAGGCAAACTGCCGTAACAGAGACTCTGCCAACAGGGCGGAGCCCACGACAGCAGGGTGTAGCCCATGGCCACAGGGAGGAGCCCACGACAGCAGGGCAGAGTCCACAGCAACAGGGCAGACCCCACAGCAGCAGGGCGGAGCCTGGACAGGCAAATAGTGACTAGACTGCCTCCTAGCTGAGCAGCACACTGCAACAAATACTCACAAAGAAAGCCCTAACTCCACGAGACAGAGCATCTGAGGAAAAAATAAAGTTTTATGAGTTCTGCTGCAGCAGATGTAAACGTTCCTGCCTCACAGCCCTGAATGATCAACATAGCTCACAGCTCAGTACTTGAGCTCCTATAAAGTACAGACCACCTCTGCAAGCAGTTCCCTGACCCCAGGATATCCAAAGAGTCACCTCAAAAAGGACTGATCAGACTGACATTTGGCGAGCATCATTCTGGGACAAAGATAGCAGAAGAAGAAACTGGCAGCATCCCTCACTGTTCTGCAGCTGCTACAGGTGTACCCCAGACAAGCAGGGCCTAGAGTGGACGTCAGCAGTCCTACAGAAGAGGGGCCAGACTGTTAAAAGAAAAACTAAGTAACAGAAATACTTCATCATCAACAATCTGGGTGTCCACACAGAGACCCAATCGAAAAGTCAGCAACTATTCAGATGACAGGTGGATAAACCCACAAAGATGGGAAGAAACCAGCGCAAAAAAGAGGAAAACACCAGAAACAAAAACACCTCACCTCCTAAAAAGGAACAAAACTCCTCACCAGCAAGGGAACAAAGCTGGACAGAGAATAAGTGTGATGAAATGATGAAATCAGACTTCAGAAGGTGGGTAATGAGAAACTTCCGTGAGCTAAAAGCACATGTTCTAAATCAACGCAAAGAAACTAAGAACGTTGAAAAAAGATTCGAGGAAATGATAACAAGAATGGACAACTTAGAGAGAAATATGAATGAATTGAAGGAGCTGAGAAACACAACACGAGAACTTCGCAAAGCATGCACAAGTTTCAATAGCCGAATTGACCAAGCAGAAGAAAGAATATGAGAAGTCAAAGATCAACTCAATGAAATAAAACGAGAAACCAAGATTAGAGAAAAAAGCACAAAAAGGAATGAACAAAGTCTCCAAGAAATGCTGGACTATGTGAAGAAACCTAACCTACGTTTGAAAGGTGTACCAGAATGCGACAAAGAGAATGAATCCAAGCTGGAAAATACTCTTCAGGATATTATCCAGGAAAATTTCCCCAACCTAGCATGGCAGTATTAAAGTCCAGGAAATAAAGAGAACACCTCAAAGATATTCCGCAAGAAGAGAAACCCCAAGGCACATCATCGTCAGATTCACCAGGGTTGAAATGAAGGAGAAAATACTAAGGGCAGCCAGAGAGAAAGGTCGGGTCACTCACAAAGGGAAGCCCATCACACTCACAGCAGATCTCTCAGCAGAAACCCTACAAGCCAGAAGAGAGTGGGGGCCAATATTCAACATCCTTAAAGAAAAGAACTTTCAACCCAGAATTTCATATCCAGCCAAACTGAGCTTCAGAAGTGAAGGAAAAAGAAAATCCTTAGCGAACAAGCAAGTACTCAGAGATTTTGTCACCACCAGGCCTGCTTTACAAGAGCTCCTGAAAGAGGCACTACACAGAGAAAGGAACAACCAGTACCAGCCATTCCAAAAACACACTAAATGCTAAAGAGCATTGACAAAATGAAGGATCTGCATCAACTAACGGGCAAAACAGCCAGCTAGCATCAAAATGGCAGTATCGAATTCACACATAACAATATTAACCCTAAATGTAAATGCACTAAATGGACCAATCAAAAGACACAGACTGGCAAATTGGATAAAAAACCAAAACCCATCGGTGTGCTGTATCCAGGAAACCCATCTCACATGCAAGGATACACAAAGGCTCAAAATAAAGGAATGGAGGAAGATTTACCAAGCAAATGGAGAGCAAAAAAAAGCAGGAGTTGCAATTCTTGTCTCTAATAAAATAGACTTTAAAGCAACAAAGATCAAAAGAGACACAAAGAAGGTCATTACATAATGGTAAAAGGATCGATACAACAAGAAGAGCTAATGATCCTAAATATATATGGACCCAATACAGGA